GCCTGGTGGCAGAAGTCCCGGCCTCTGGGTCCTGTTGCCTGATGCTCGCTGGTGTGGGTGCTGGGGAAAACCCTCTCTGCTCCTAGAGGACTTGATGTCCCTATCTGGGCAGCCCAGCCCCCTATTCACCACCCTCCAGCCGCCAACCCCGTCTGTCCCTCCATAATCCCTCCTTGCTTTCGAGCAAAAGGTGCCAGCCATGCTGTCTGGCCTCCAGCTGCCTCTCAGGCTCTCCTCTTTGGCCTTTGCCTCTATGGACAGACGTGCACAGGGTGCAGGGTGAGAGCCTCTCGTATGGTATCCAGAAGTAGAAGGGAGAGGCCTCGGCATCCAGAGTGGCTTAAGTGCTGTGGGGACCTGTTCGAGGGACTGCCCCGGGCAGGCGCCCTGCCTCTCTGCTCGCAGGCTTTCCTGGGCAGGCATCCTCGTGCTGTCTTAGAATACCAATGGCAACACATATTCGTGCCGTTCTCAAACCGGCTTTTGCGTCCTTTCCCGGCTAGTGCATCCTTCAGTCCTCGCTTCCTCCCCCATTCTGTTTTCTTCTCCTCTATAACACGCCATGTAATGACTGCCTCGCCGTTCGCTAGACAGTTCGCACAATGCCACACATCTTGGTGCCTTCCAATGGCTTGTTAGTCCAGGACAGCGAGAGTGGAGAGCCCGTGCGTCCGGGCCGCGCTCCTCCTCTGTGCGGGAGGGGGGGGGGGGCTGGCAGTGCTGTGTGCGCCCACAGCTCCAAGCCCTCCGCGAGAGGGTGGGGGGACAGAGGCCCAGGCCCCAGGCGGCCAGCGCCACCGGCTGCCTCACCGAGCTTATGTAACCGAGCCCATGGAACCCAAATTAAAAGAGGAAACGATTTCTCCTGCTGCTCAACTCGCCTAATCCCTATCTGTCTCTGCCCAGGGCCCCGCGCTCGCCTCCGAAGGTCTTGGGCGCGTTCCAGATTTCTAATTTCGTTTGCTTATGCAACCAAAAATATGATGGCCGCGTTTCCCGGGGGCGATGGAGTCTGTACTCCCCGCTCCAGGCACGCTAAAAACGGCAGCGCCGGGCTGCTGGAGGCGGGGGCGACGCAGGCGGAGCCGGGCGCCTGGAGACGCGGGGACCCGCGGTGCACTGTGGTCCCCAGCCTTTCCCGATCCCTTCCCGCTGCCCGCTGATCCGGCAAGGTGGGCGCGTCTTCTCCCCGCGCGCCCCGCCCCCAGCACCTGCCAGAAACCGTGCGTTGCCCCACTGTGCGTTCAGAAATAGGAAAAGAAAAAGAAAACAAAAGGAAACAGCACGCCCCTCAGCAGGGGAGGGAGGGCTGGGATAGACAGGAATACTGAGTCGCTGGTTTAAAAGAAAGCAGGATGGACGGAGACGTTAAACTTGTTTTTTTTTTTTTTTTTAAAGCAAGCCGAGGAACTATAGAGCATATGAGTGTATCTGTGTTCTTTCATTTAAATCTGTAAACGGGGGTAGGGATATAGTCCAGCATGGGGTTTCCTTCCTAGCACACTGAAGGTAGCGGTGTGCACACAGGAATCCCAGCTGAAGGAGAGGCAGGAGGAGAGGCATTCAGAGCTGGCTCTCGGCTACCTAGTGACTTAGAGGCCAGCCTGGGCTACAGGAGAGCCTGTCTCAGAAATGAGAAAAGGATCGGGGCGGGGGCCCTAGTAACTGGTGCCAAAACTTGACCTCCGCATAGGTTTTGTGGCGTGCACACGTCCAACACCTTCAATTAGTGTAAAACAAGCTTTTAGAAAATTGTTATTCTCTCTCTCTCTCTCTCTCTCTCTCTCTCTCGCTTGCTCGCTCTTTCTTTCTCTCATTGCCATGTACCAGGCATTTCTGTAGAGGTCAAAGGACGGCATTCAGAAGTCAGTTCTCTCAAGATTGTGGACAGGCACCTTCACCGGCTGAGCTATCGCCTCTCCCACCCTTTAAAAAAAAGTAAAAAAAAAAACCAAAATCTGTAGGCGAAGTCCGGCATTCCTGTAGTCCCAGCTACTGAGGAGGGCAGCTAGGTTACAGACTTGCAAGCCGGAGGCCTTCCTGCGCTCCGCAGCCAGCTCAAGGGCAATTTAGGCAACTTACCAAGACCTTGTCTTAAAACTAAAAACAAATCTTAAAAAAAAAAAAAAGAGAGAGAGAATTTTTTTTGAGGAGATAGTTTAGTGGCAGGGTATTGCCTAGCATTCCCAAGGCCTTGGGCTCTATTTCCAGTGTCCCCTTCAAGAGAAGATATGGTGATTATTTGTTTATGTATTTATTTATTTTGAGATAGGGTCTCTCTACATAACCATGGCTGTCCTGGAACTCAGGATTAAAGGTGTGCACCACCAGGCCCAGCAAATATAGTAAATTATTAACATGATAACTTATGCTGTGGGAACTAAGAGAAGGGTTGGGAGGGTGAAATAAGTTGCCCTTGAGCTGGCTGTGGAGTTCAGGAAGGCCTCCGGCTTACAAGTCTGTAACCTAGCTGCCCTCCTCAGTAGCTGGGACTACAGGAATGCCGGGCTTCGCCTACAGATTTTGTTTTTAACTTTTTAAATTTTTTATTCTTTGCATGATTCGCATCATACAAAGAGCCTGTGTTTGTGTGGTGTTTGCATAATTTTGCTTTTACTGTTATGGAAGAAGGGGAGCAGAGAGCCAGCCCAACCACCTTAGTCTCTGGAAGGCAGGTCAAAGTAAGAGTTGACGGGCTAGTGCTGGGTGGTGATGGCGCACACCTTTATTTCCAGCACTCGGGAGGCAGAGGCAGGTGATCTCTGAGTCTGAGTCCAGCCTGGTCTACACAGAGAGTTCTAGGACGACCAGGGCTACACAGAGAAACCCTGTCTTGACTCCCATCCCCCCCCCCCAAAAAAAAAGACTGGCAGGAAGGCATGAGTTTTCCCTACCCCACCCCCACTCAAGGATGTGTTTTGAAGTCTCCTGACCACCAAGAGGTGGCCTGGGGGTGGGGGGTCCTAGGACTGAGGGCAGGTTAGTCTCTGACCTGGCAGGTCATCATCATCCGACATGACGGCTTGGCCAGGGCCAGTGGGAAGAGGTGTCATGTCACTCCTGTGCTGCTTGAAGGCCTGGAGTGAGAACCGAATGGCGCCCCTGATGTGGCTCCCCAGGATACGGCCAGCGTTCCCGGCTGTCCCAGATGCATTTGCGTCCCAAGCTGGAGGTCCCCACTGCTGAGCTGAGACTGTCTACACAGCACTGACCAACCAGACACCTGGACACAAGCTCAAAGCAGGAGGCCACGGTCACCAGGTCGTCTCCCATGACACTTCAGCCTTCCCTAGTCCACCAAGCTGTTCCCACTTCAGATCTTGTTCCAATACTAAATAATCCATAGAAGTTCCTCAGCGGGCTGACTTCTTCTCATCTCTTCACTTCAGAGCTTCTCAGGACCTTCACTGTTTGTTCGTCTCTCTACAAAGGTGAGTTAAATACAACTTTCATCAAAAAGTGCAGTGACCCAGGAGCTTCCTGGGGGTGGGGGGGTCAAAACAGTGAGCTAGGGCCAGGGACACAGGCGAGAAGCCTGGGAAACTGCGGGTGAGCATGAGTAATTCAAGGTGTGAGAAAGGCAGAGGCCAGCTCAGCTGTGAGATACCAAAGGACCCCGCCATCCTGCCAAACAAACTCGGATGTGGGGTGGGGTGGCACACTCGCCAGAGCAGGTGTGCCTGGCCTCCGTGACTGTGGCCATCTGCACACATGTGCACAGGCCTAGGCACACACCCAAAAAGACACACGAGCAAGCTCACATGCAAGCAGGTGGCCACATGGTGAATCTGCCAGTGTGTGGCAACGGCGGAAGCCTCTCGTAGCAGCCTCCCAGCATGCAGCACGTTCACAGGAACCCATGTACCTCGCAGGCTCACACTCAAAATGGCCAGGAAGCCAATCGCCAAGCCTCACAAGCAGACACACGTGTCCATATGGTGAAGCCCAAGAAGACACAGACAGATACATCGCATGCAACACCAACTTGGGCTCACTGGGCCTCCTTCTAGATACCACAGCAAGGGGATGTGAGCGGACGCTCAGATACCATGGCTGCACCCTCACGGCATGACTAAGGCCGTGGAAGTGGGACCCTGGCGTGGAAGGGGCACGTTGGCTTCTAGGGGAGCTGAAGGACTTGGGGGGAGCATGGGGAGCGCTTTCCAGAGGCACGAATCTTTTTGAGTATTTTTATCCTCGGCGCACAAATGTCACACAGCCTCTGGGTAGCTTTGGCATTGCTACCATGAAGGGGGATTCGTGGCTGGGTTTCGAAGCAGATGGCTCTCAAGTGAAAATAGATAGATAGATAGATAGATAGATAGATAGATAGATAGATAGATAGATAGTTTGTCTCCATCAGCCCCCACCCCCAGTGTTTCCTCCTCTAACATATCAGGTCCCCTCAAGGCCTGCCCAGGCCATCAGCAAAACAGGTTGGGTAGACTGCCTGCCTAGCCTGGGCAAAGCCCTGAGTTCTATCTCGACAACAGGGCTGCCTGGCATCTGGAGAGAGGGGCTGACTGCTCCCACAGTCTGCCTGCCCTTTCTTGGGGCTCAGCTTCTCAGAGCCCCATGGCCCAGGGCTCTGCATGTGACCCATCAAGGGTGGCCCCCCCCCACCCCTGCCCCACATGTGCACACAGCATTTTCCACAATGCCTAAGCTGTCGGGAGGTCCGGGCATGTGAAAGACAAGCCAGTGGATTTCAAAATCTGCTTTAATCCCTGGGTTCTGACGCACCGGGCTCACCACCAAGCAGGATCTGGTGCCCACGGATCTGACGTCAGAGGGAGGGAGTGGCCCGCAGTGGCCCTGGCATCACGCCAGCCCTCCTGCCCATGTGGCACAGCTGACACGGAGGAAGAAATGTCCCCAAAGCCTCTGTCTCTTCAACCTCAACCGCTCGCTGGCCTGCAAATATCAGCACAGACTAGAAAATGACAGTGGAAAACAGTAACACACACACACAGATCAGAAGCCAACAGGGAGCAGAGCGCTGCACATACATAATCTTGTGTTTATTTGGCAACAATAGAAAACGTATTCAGGCACAGGGGGCACTTGGAAAAGCTTAACAGACTATCTGTGGGAATTTGTCATTCAACAAATATTTACTGTCAGACCGAAGTTCTGGGCACAAGCAGTGGACAGGCAGACACCTTTAGAGACTTTAAATCCTGGACTCAAAGGGGGTTACAGGTCCTAGAATTTGTGAGGTCAATGTACGGCAGAGTAAACGGTGAAAGGTCTGAAAAGGAAAAGCCAGGGAGGGGCATGGCAGCTTGGGTGATATTATTTTCTTTCTGGTTTTTTATTTTTATTTTTTTACCTGCTTCTAAAATGGTTGCTTTCTGGATCATGATTACCGTACGTGCGCATGCTGCACAAGGAACATGCCCACTCCTTGGGTTGCCTGTGAGGGGTCAGAGAGCAACTCTGACAGAGCTCATTCTCTCCCTGCAGCTTTACATGGGCTCCAGGGAAGGAACTCAGTCTGCCAGGCTGTCATAAATGCTTTGCCCTGAGTCATCCAGCTGCCTCTTATTTATTTATTTATGTTGAGAAGGGCTCTCACTACATAGCCCAGGCTGGCCTCAAACTCATGATCTCCTGGCTTATGCCTCTTGAGCGCTGGATTACTTGTGTGCTCCACTCTGCTCAGTTTGATGTCCCTTCCCCATCACTTTCTCTGTCGGTGACATCTTGCATTTACTGCATGAATGATTTTTTTTTCCTTTTGAGCCAGAATCTATGGAACCCAAGCTGATCTCAAACTCACCATCCTTCAGCCTCAGCCTCCCGAGTGTTAGGGTTGCAGTATCACCACACCCCATGGTAATTATTATCCGTAGAAATTTCGGCAGTTGTTTTACCAGACTTCCTTTGTTCCTCTAAGCCCTTTCTGTCCCAGGAGCCCTTCACATACCACATTCCAGCTCATTGTCTTCCCTCTAGAAGCTTCTCTTGGCCACAGCACCCCTCACACATCCCGTGTTTTTTGTTGACTCTAGTGGTTTGAAGGGATCCCGGTCAGGTATTTTGTAGATGTCCTTAAATCAGAATTTGCCTGCTGAGAGCTGGGTATGGTAGGAACACCTCTATAACCCCAACATTTCAGAGGTGAAGGCGGGAAAATCAGGAGTTTAACGTCATCCTCAGTTATATGCAGTGAGTTCAAAGCCAGCCAGGACTACATAAAATCCTGTCTCAAAATACAAAAATAAATAAAGTAAAACAAAATAAAATAAACTTGAATGTGTTTTGCCACTGGGCTATCATCCAGCCCTGTTTGCTGTGCCGTGCGCGCAGCTGCTCCAGCGCTGTCGGCCACACCCACATTTGGGTGGCTCTTGTCCTCCAGTCTTTCCTTTGGGATGCTTTGAGAGAGTCCAGCCTCATCCTGCGTATTTCCCACCCTATCCGAGAAGCAGCTATTTCTCCAAGAATCCGTGGGTCCCTTCATTACAGGACGGTATTAGAAAGCAAGATCTGGGCACAGGGCGTGATCTTCAGTTTTCAACACGGAGGTCATGGGGAAGGCTCCTGGATAAGGCAGAACCCGGATGAAGACGTGAGGAAGGGGAGGAGCAAAGCATGGAGATACTTGGGGGAAGGAGGCTCCAAGAAGTGGAAACAGCCAGTGCAAAGGTCCTGAGGCATGGGTTGTGTAATCAGAGAACAAAGCCAGTAGCTGAACCAAATGATCAGTGTAGGAGATGAGGTGGGGCAGGTAGATACGGTAAAACGCCATCACCAAAACTTCAGCTTTTCCTCAGGACAGGGGAACCAGGCATGAGCTGACTCACATCTTGATAAAACTGCTCTGGCCATGCTAGGAATGGAAGGAAAAGATGGAAGGAGATGCTATTGCGAGCATCCAGTGAGTTCCCATGCTGGCTGGGCTCAGATGGGAGGAGAGGCTCCAGGGGTGCTGGAGGGATGGCCGGGCAGTCAAGAGCACGCACTGTTTTCTTTCAGACTTGAGTTCAATTCTCAACAACCACATCAGCTGGCCCACAACCATCTGTAACTCCAACTCCCAGCAGATCCAATTCCTCTGGCCCCTGGGCACCTGTACATAATTGAAATTAACACAGAATTTTCTAAAAAGGGCATTTCTAAAAAAAAAAAAAAAAAAAAAAAAAAAAGTACATTCTTTCCTGCAAATGTATGATTTTTTTTGTTATTTGTTTGTTTGTTTGTTTGTTTGTTTGTTTAGGCAGGTTGTTGCTATGTCACCTTGGCTAGACTGGTATGAGTTGTACAAGCCAGGCCAGGTTTGAATCTGATGGTTATATCTACCCTCCGAGTGCTGGGATGACGGGTGTGAGCCGCCACTCTGGGCTGAAGGTAGCGCTTAGGGCATTTTCTGGCATAGATGAAGGGTGAGCAATGAATGGTGACAATAAGGGTTTTGCCTAATTATCTGGAAGGAGGTAGTTGTGGTTAGCCAAGCAGGGAGGAGACCAGAGGAGTGGCAAGTTGGGAGATGGCTTTCTGAGCGTACTGGGCCTGTGTGGTCCATCACTGACCCACTTGGAGCTGGTGATTTAGCGACGAGAGGGGAGGGAGCTGCCCCAGCCTGAGGAGGAAGGGGTGGGGCTCAAGCTCTGCACTGATGTCCTGGGCATCCCCTGGCCACGAGCTCTAGGCCTAGAAAAGCTGTTCAGCCTGAGTCCAACCCAAGGAGCCTACCTCAGCCCCAAGGACAGGAAGGAAGCTTGGGGGTGGGGGAGTGGAGGGGCCATCCAGTCCTTGACTTTGCTTTATACTCTAACAGGGTTTTGTATGACCACTAAGGATTCAGTCAGGGAAATGTGCCACACTAGACCTTCTATCCAAGGGGAACATGTGTCACTTGTCAAATGAAAAGATGAAAGGATGAATGAATGGATGAATGAATGAAAATAAACCTATCTCCTCTCTTAGGACTCCCAGGACTGGTTCAGTTCTCAAGTGTAACTGACTTGGCTTCAAGAAATTCTCACACCAAAGTGGAGTCATGTGCATGAACAAAGGGAAAGAAACTCTCCAGACCTCAGCCAATCACACCTCTTCCCAGGCCTGCAAGTCTACCCTCCTTTCCTACCCTCTGTAAGGCAGAAATCTCCACCACCGGTTCCACTGTGGGCCTTTGTTCTTCTTGTCTCCTGTTTCTAAAAGTATCCAGAGAGCTAGAAAAAAAAAAAAAAAACAGCAGTAGCTGGCTTGGGGAGGGGGCACAGGTCAGTAAGACCATCATCCTGCCAATTCAAAAAAGGATCAGAAGATCAAGGCCTACATAGCAAGTTCAAAACCAGCTTGGATAACTTAGCTGAGACTCCTTACCTCCCACGCAGAGTGACTGCCTTATCTGTGTGAGGCCCCAGGTTCAATGTCTCGCACTGCAATAAGCAAATAGAAGCCCCATTCTCTTTAACTCTTGGGATGGAGAGCAAAGGCCGGGCCTCTGAGGCTTCCCACCTAGGCTTTCCCCACCAGAGGACTGACTCTCATCCCCACATCCTGCAGCAACCCTTGACTCCTGCCTACTGCCTCTCTCACCCCTCTCCCAGTTGTGATAAACTGTCAGGCCATTGGGATAACCAGTGTTGGATCCTAGGGTGCTGGCTGGCCCAAGGCCTGGGGCCCTGCCTTGAGTTGTAGGTGCACTGTGAGCCCTGTCGTCTTGGCCTGGATGCAAGATGGAGGCTGTGGGGTGTGGGGTGTGGGGAGAAGGGGCCGTGATGGAGGTTCTGGAGCATGCTGAGGGTGCCTGGAAGATGCCACTGCTGGCTAGACTCAGGCCCAGCCTCCAGGCCACCTGAGGGAGAAACAAGCTTTCTCTGTCCAGAGTCTGACCTACAAGAGATTCAGGAAAACAGCCACTGACTGGCTGGCCGAATGAATGCCTTTTAAATAGTAGTAATAGTGACTTTCCTTTCCCTTTTACATTTCTGTATTTTCCATTAAAAAAAGGAGGTAAACTCTCTTTTTAGAATGAAAGACGAAAACCAACATTGGGCCGTTCTGTCACCATGTTGGTGAGAAGTCGGCTCCCTGAGCTGGAGAGACCTATCTCTTCTGTGGGTTCTCGGGCAGAGGCTGGAGTAGGCCCAGTGATGCCCTGCACTGTTGCCAGGCACTGGAACCCACCCCAACGTCCGTCAACAGTAAAATGGGTGGCTAAATTATGAGAGTCACACAGGGACAAGTTCCCAGGAAGACAAGTGGCCTACACGAGTGGCCCGGGACTGCCGAAGACGGCATGGCTAGACCTCACAGACAGGACTCTGCGCAAAAGTACCTCCAGGTCACAAGTGGGCTGGTCCTAAACCGTAGCAGCCGATAGGGCTAGAGGGCTGGCTGCGAGGGGGCGTGCCCTTGCGGGTGTCAGTGGGAGGGTCTTCTGGTGTTGGTGGGAGCTGATTGGAGGGTTTTTTGTTTTAGTTTTTTTTTTTTTTTGAAGCAGGGATTCATGTAGTCCAGGTAGCCTCAGATTTGCTATGTAGGCGTGAATGACCTTGAACTCTGATCCTCCTGCCTCTGCTTCCTGAGCGCTAGGATTACAGGCAAGCCCTATCAGTAGCGCCCAGACGGTTCCGGAACCCAGGGCTTCACAAGCGAGGCGAGGACTGCCTGGTGCTGTTTCTCCGCCTGGGAATTGGCCACATGTGCAGCTTGGGCTATGTCCACTTTTGTGTAATGGTCATCCTGTAAAACTCACTTCCCCCGGGACCCCCCCAAAAAGGTTTTTTTTTAAAAATAAGAGGCATACCCCCCCCCCCCCCCCCGGTTAAATCCCCCCTTTTCTGTATAGGAGACAGAAAGAGGTGCCTGCCTCCCTGATGCAGGACCGGCTGCCAGACTGTTGCCACTAGAGTCTCTCCACCTTGCCTTCCAAAGTGAGACCGAGGGCTGTTTCCATCTAGCTGAGAACACATAGCTCTCTGGGGTCAACTCCTTCCAGATCAGGCCTCTGGAGGCAAGGCTGGGCTCTGGAGCCTGGGCTGTCCCTCCCTGGCTGGGACACTTTGGGCCTCTCTCATCTGGAACAGGCTGAGGACTAGGGCTTGGTGGGGTGGGGTACAGGGGTACCGGTACCTGCGTTTGGGGGTGGCATGCACAACAACCTCCACCTTCTGGCCTCTGCGCAGTGACAAAGGTGCAAATGCTTGAATTCAGGAGGCAGGAAAGCCCAGGAGGCCTGGCCTGACCTTGCGCACCACCCCCCAAAGGTCATGGCGCTTTAGCTCTCTGGGGTTCAAGTTCCCGCGGTGGCCGGGATGCCAGAAATCAATCCGGGCCCGCCGGCCGGCCAGAGAGGGGCGCGGATCCAGCGAGCTGCCCTCAGCAGCCTGGCACAGTTATTTATAGCCGTGGGTCGCCTTACCTCCTGACCTTCAGCCCAGACCAGAGATCCAACGTGATTAGCATCTCTCCCGCGGCCCACTGCGAACAAACACCCCTCTGTGCGGCCTCCAGGAGGGCCTGCCGGAAGCAGGATGTTGACCGTGGCTCCTTAGAGTGGATCCAGTCCCATGTGAGTGGGGGGAGGTGGGCGCGGCAGGGGGGAAGGTGCCACAGTTAGTCCTGTTGCCCTGCTTCCCGGGTTGTGAATGTTCTGGACTATTCTGGGCAGCAGTTTTATTTACAATGTAGGACACCCCAGCCTGGGTCTGCTCCACGGGGGTGCCTGCCTGTTCCAAGCCAGAGAGAAAGAAGCCGAGTAGCCCCGGTGTGCGGAGGAACTGTGCACACACGGCCCCTGGGACTACATTGCATACTGAAGGCAGGGCACAACCAGGACACAGAAGTTCTAGTTCTTGGTTGATGGCTTTTCCCACTGGACTCCAGAGGCCCCACCTGCAGTCTGGGGGGAGGGCAGGGCGGGGGACAGACACCCGGTTTAGTCATGTGTTCGGTAGTTTCGTTGGGCCTCTAGTAGACCCCTCCCAGGAGAAGTTTACTGTCTGTGGGGCTCCATAGAGCAGCCTAAGGCGGGGCAGCCGCAGAACGGTTCCGTGTGTGAGACCTGGAGATGGGCACCAAGACAGGGAGGAGGGTCAGGAGGGAGGTGACTCGGGAGATGGCGGCTGAGTATTTGCCAAGGGCAGACCTCGGACAAAGCTAAGCTCAACATCACATTCTAGGCCGGTGAAGGCTGTGGCTCAGTAGCAGGGTCCCCTCGGATAGCTTCCAATGACCTTGTGCCCCCAGCGCAGAGGGCAAAAGTCTCATCCAATGCCCATCTGGGCGGTGGACCTCGAGAAGGCTGTGGACAGACCAGCGGAAGCTGGTTCTGTCTGTTTGAGAAGCTTGGGCACAGTGTGGTAGGAAGACAGGGTACATTGTTTTGTTGAGACAGGATCTTACTGTATGGATCTGGCTGGCCTCAAACTCCAGAGATTTGCCTCTGCTCCCCGGGTGGTTACAGGAATATGCCACTGTACCCAGCCTCTGCTCTAGTCTTGCACACTTGAAGAAAAAAAAAAAGGGGGGGTGGGGGAGGGACAGCACTTGGTCCGTGTGACTAGCCCTCGCTGCCTACCCTCTCAGGCCCGTTTCCACCCCTGAGCAGGGTAGGTATTAGTAGTGAAGAGCAGTCTCAGCTCTTACTGCCTGTTCCCGTGAGCTAGCCACCTTCCAGACCAGAGGACTAACACCCTCTACCTCCCGGCATCCCTACCCCACTCCCACTACTCCATGTCCCATCCCCTATGGCTCAGCCCAGTTGTGTCTTTTGATCTAGTGAAATTCAAGGGGACAAAAATCAAGGATAAGAACATGAACAGCTTAGTGGCTGTCGTGGCCACGGGTGGCCAAGAACTCATTCCACAGTATAAAGTTGTGTGTGTGTGTGCGTGCGCGCTGTGTCCTTGTGGAAGGTGCTGTGCATGGGAGGCTGTGTGTAGGATCTTTGTGAAGGTGCAGAGAAGAGTATGGGTAACAGCGTTGGGGTGTGAGGTGTCGGCAAGAGTTACAGGAATGCTTTGGCAGGTGGGGCTGGGGGCTCCAGGCCCTGCAAGGGCCTCTCCCTCATGATCAGTCTGTGGCCAGTGGGCCCTGACCAGTCAATGAACTCAGGGTCTGAAAGAGTCAGCGGCTTTTCCAACCTTTTTTTTGCCAAATGGGATGTCAGCACGGGGGCGGGGCAGGGCTGGAAAGGGAAGGGGGTTGCCGGGCAAGCAGGCTAGGCTGGGAGGGTGGCAATGACTTCATGACAGCTGGCTGCTGAGCAGCTGGGTGAGGGGGTGGGGAGCTGGAGCCCGACTGGGCCAGGAGACCTGCCCTCTTGGCCACTGGTCAAGACCAAGGCTTGTTGTTCCTTTCCAGACAGGGAGAGGCAACCTGGCCTCAGTTCCCTTCCTGAGGCCCCTTGGGGCAGAGCAAAGGGCCTCCCCCACCGCATGGCCAGCCATCCTGGAGACCTATTCCAGCTTCACAGATCAAGAAACTGAGGCTAATGTGCTGACACTGGAAATGGGAGGTAGCACATTCTCCCCTGTGCCCCACACAGGGGCATTTAGCCACTGGAATCTGAATGCCTGTTGTGTCTGAGTGCTGGGCCTTCTCTGAACCCCTAAGCATTACGCCTCCTAAACCCATCCAAATGAGCTTCTTCTTGGGGTGCGCCTCCACATGCTTTTTCACTCTTTGGGAGCAGTTAATAAATAGCAGTTCCATGGCTGTCAGTAGAAGCTTGGACCCTCCCCACCACAGGCCAGAGGCTGGCTTCCACTCCAGCAGAAAGCTGTTTTCCAGCCAAGGCTTCACTGACGGCTGGCTCAGGCTGGCTCCTCAGCAGGGCTGGAGGGACCCTAGATCACAGACCTGGTGGGTGTGGGCCTGGCCTTTGTACCGACAGCTGAGATCAGCTTTGGGGGTGTCTTTCTTCCACCATTTACTAGTTTCCCATAAGAATAATAACTACCCTCCATAACCTTTGTAGTTCACAAAGGGCTTTTACAAACATCCCCTGGCTTTAGCGCTTACCCTAGGCCCCGTGACGAGCAACTCATCCACCCATTTTATAGAATAAGAAACCAGCGTCGAAGAGGGAGATTGGGAATGAGTCTCAGATCACAGGGCCAGGAAGCTGCTGGTGCTCAGGCCTCTCCGACCCAGACTCCTGCCAGAGCAAGAGCCTTCTCGGGGAGCATGGCAGTCATGTGACTTCCCAGAGAGCAGACTGGGTCCTCCTGCAGCCAGCAGTGAGCAGTGCAGAGGCCCTCTGCACCAGCCAGCCGAGGATCTGTGAAGCCTCCTTGCTACCTGCTTGTCCTGGGGAGGCTGGGGAAGGGTAGTTGCCCAGGAGGAGGTCTCCCAGGACAGGGCTGGCTGCTGTCGGTGGTGCTGGGCTCTGGCCAAGGAGTGAGAGGACCAGTACTTCCTGGAACAAGAGTCTACCCACAGTGCTAGCACCAGCTGCTGCCGTGTGCGGCTCTGCCTGAAGCTGGCAGGGAGAGCAAGACGGTACAGGGAAGTGTTTGGGTTTCTCAAAGCTATGCTCTGAGTGGGGCGATGTCAGTCCCTCCTGTGGGCATGCGCACACTCAGCAAAAGGAAAAGCTGGTGTTGGTCCTATTTTTCATTTAGTTAGTTTTTTTTTTTTTTTTTTTTAGAAATAATAGTGATCAGAGAAACTGCAAACACTGAGGACCAACCGGGTAAATCTATAACAAAGTTGTAAAGTTGTTTTGGGGTATGTATGTGTGTGGGAAGGTCCTTTTCATTTCTTTTTCTGAGACAGTCTCATTAGGTAGCACTGGCTGGCCTGAACCTTGTGATCCTCCTGTCTCAGCCTTCGAAATATGGGGATTGTAGGTGCCTACTGCATAAAGGGATCTGCTTTTTAATTGCGGGATGGTACCTGAATACCTGGAAAACTCTTAAGGGAAGGGGCTAGGATGATGCCCCACCTCACCCCTGCCATTGCAGAGCCTAAGACTTCCTCGGGGAACCTGAGGAAAAGGAACATTCTCAAAAGTGTACTGGGAATTCTTAGAAAAGTTTCAGGGCCAGTTCTCTGTGCCATCTACCCTTGACTCCTTTCTGACCGGGAGCTGGGTGGAAATGTTCCCTTAAACCTCCTAGCCCTCCCGGGGCCGGCTGCCTCTCCCAGAGCCCACAAATACTCCAGACCCTGCAAGGAGACATCATGTGTATGGCTGGCCGCCTGCCCCTCAGAGAGGGCATGTCAGTAATGTTGAGGCCAAATATAGAGGGAACCAGATACCTCATAGGTCCAGGGCCTGGGGAGCCCCATGGACTCTACAGTGCCTGCCCTCCACCCCAATCCCCCCCCCCCCAGCTCTTTCAAGCCCTGCACCCCACCCCCCAGCCTGGGCAAGCAGCCAGGAGACTGGCATCCCTTCTCCCGGCCCAGCCTACTTGGGAACATGTCACAACAAGTCCAAGCACAGCAGGAGGCTGGTTGGGGGTGGGGGTGGGGAGGGTTTGAGCTGGGTGTAAGCGTGGGGACACCTCTCCAAGCCTTTTTTACAAGCGTACCTTCCCACAGGGCTCTCAACACTAGGAGACCAAGCATAACCACTCCTACCCTTGGTTCTTCAGCTTCCCCAGGAGACCAAGACCATAAAGCTGGGGTGGGGGAGACCAGAGAGCCAGGCCAAACCCCAATAAACTACTGGTCCAATCGAACTGCAAATAATTAGTCCTAATTGCCTCCACCCTCCTCTCTTGGGAGTGAAAAGTCAAAGGGCAGAGCTGCTGACGCAAATGTCAAGGGACAAATTCGGAGGCTTGAAACAGCTGGGATCCTGCCCCCAGCGAGGTCACCAGATCCCTGAACACTGTGTCCCCCAGGGCAGCAGGGATTGCTGTTCTCAAAGCACCCAAGGTGAGGGGTTTCTGTGGCTCTTGTCTCCTGCCTCCAAGGTCACCAGAACCCGATGGCGATTAATCAGGCTCTTGGGAAAAGCTTAGCCTTCTGCCTGATAACTTGATTCTGGTCTTTTGAGCCTCCTCTATCTTCTACAAAGAGGGGAAAAGACCTCTGTCTCTTATGAGGGGGGTCCTGGCTCCACATACTCTTCTGGATTGGCACACCTTGGCAGTTCTAGAAGTCTGTGCACAGTGGTGACCCCCAGTGGTCAGTGCAGGATTTGAACTTGGGCCTGGGGCTGGGCTGCCACCATCCTAACTGCAGCTTGAGGAGGCCCAGGCCTTGGATAGAGCAAGAGCAGCTTGGGGATTTGGCTTTGGTCAAGGTTATTTACTAGGTCTTAATTTTTCCTCCCTGAATTGTGGATAGACTCAGCCGAAATATCCCACTGTTGGCAGATCAGGGTCAGCATGTCTAAGGA